GGGGGGGGGAGAAACCAGCATGATACTCTAAAATATGCCAGCAATGAAATCTGGTACTATTTCTGTGGAAAAAAACAAATTAAGGACACATTAAGACAAAAATTAAGGCTTTATATAAGGAGTTGAGTCTTCTCCATGATTAGTGATTGCAAATATGTTGACGGTTTAGTTAAGACAGAATAGACTGCTGTGCGTGGAGACGAAGAATGTAAGAAGCAGCAGGAAGAAGGAAGAAACGTAAGCAACAACGATCGCCAGAATTGAGGAAGTCTATCTCCATATTCGGACCTCAGTGGGGCATGAGAAACGGGTGAGGAGGAGGAGGAGGCGGCGACTGGATTGTCAGCCCGCCCTTCCTCCCCCCACCTTCCCCAATAAGCCTGCTCCTATCAGAGAAGCCCCTGTTGCTACCAAAAGCGTAGGACAAATAAACCCCGGGAAAACTGGCGGGAAAAAGCGACGTGGAACGGAAGGCGCTACTCGCGCCCCCCCATCACGAGAAAGCTACCATTCCTCACAGCCACGAACCCCGCATATGTTAAGCGACCCACACGGCCCGTTCACACTCACTCTCGCCAACGACCGCCTTCAGCCCGGTCGGCGCCATGTCCCACCCAGTCCCTCTTTGGGTCCTGGTGCTGTTGTTGCTGCTGCTGTTGCTCCGCCGGAGGCTGCCACTTCCGCGTCTTCAGGCGGGAGGAGCCGACCTCGAACCTCGCCACTTCTCAGCCCGGCCCGCGGGGACACACCCCTCACGTGCAGCAGGGAGCTCCCGGACTCCCGCGTTGGCGCGGTGGACCGGATGTGGGAGCCCGCGTAGGCGCGGAATGGGCCGCTTGCTACGGGTTGTACCTGCCGCTGAGTGTCAACTGGGTGCGTAGGTCTTGGGGCTGCAGCTAACCTCCGAAGAGAAGCAGCCTTTTCACAAGCAGGGCGCGCTTACGAAAAGGGCGGAGGTGATAAATACGAGGCAGCGACTGGCGATAGATAAAAGAAACCACCCAGTACTGAACAGGAGCTCCGATCGCTGCTTTCTTCGATTTGTTCCATAGCATCTCGGAACGAACTTTCCTCTTTCTCACTTTAATTTTAATGTTCCGGTTTAGCTTTATTTAGCTTTATTTTTTTTTTACTTTGATCTTTTTGAATAAAATAAAAATTGGGGGGGGGATAACTTTTCTCTTTCTCTCTTTAATTGGATCGAGGTGTCATTGGTTTCGGGTTGTGGAAACACTGCAAAGTGAAGGAAGGTTTTGAAGGGAAAAATAGTTTGATAGCAAGATGCGAGTTGTAAAATAAAGAAGGGTTGGGTTAGATGGAGAGAGACAATCTAGGGCCACAGAATCAAAAGAGGGTCCTGCTAACCTATTATGAATTCCCTGGAAAGCCATATGATTTAGGACTTTACCCAGGAACAGTCAGAGGCCCAAATCAAAGCCATGTTGGTTAGCCCAACACTGGATTTATTTTACCTAACACAATTTGAGCCAATAATTGGGCTGAGATAGGAAACCGCAGTTCAACACTTTATTTCTAAGAATTAGATTCCCCGAAGGGACTCAGGGCGGCTGAACAAAGCCAAGGGAGGGGAAATTATAAAAAGTAAGACAAAGACAAACAGACAATACAAACAATTTAAAAGCACAACAGACACAGCAAATTCGAGTAGGAGGGGAAACTCAACCCCA